CCTATTGTTTTCTTCTAGGAGGTTTATAGTGTCTTGTCTTATATTTAAGTCTTTAAGCCATTTTGAGTTTATTTTTGAGGAAGTTTTCTAACTTCATTGATTTACGTAGGGATTGGACTAATGGCATTTTGTTCCTATCCTTTTGGAACAAAAAATAATCTCATGAAAGACTGATTTTATGAAGATTCTTCAGTTTAATTTTTTGGCAATCATTTTGTAATACTAGTTTCATATGAATTTTTTATATGATTTATCTTTCTTGAAACATAATTTTAAGTCTTTATTTCCTCTATCACCTTTTCTTCTTTTAGCCAGCCCCATGCTAGCATTCCTCTTTTCCATAACATGTATTCAGGAAATACTCTTTAGTGCCTGTTCTGTGCCAAGTACTAGATGCTAGCTTTACTACAGAGCATGAAATAGACTTATTTCTGCACTCACAGGATTTAGAGTCTAGTGGAAATAATATCCATAATTCAAAAAAGATAAGGGGGAGAAAGAAGAATACATGTAACCTAGATTTTTTTTGGATTTCAGGTGTCTAGGGAGTCACCAGGTGAAGATAGGAGAAAGGAGGAGAAAAATGCTCCCTGTCGGAAGCAATGCATAGCATTTTGAGGCCTAGAAGCAAGACAGGATGATGCCAGAGAAGGCTTGAAGATAGTGACAGAAAAGGGAGGCAGAAATTACTGTAAGTTGATCTACAAGCATGAATTGAGTGTGTATTGTGTGTGGTACTGTGCTATGCCATTGAGATACCAAGACAGCTGAAGAATAGATCCTGCCCTCAAAAGGGCTTATGTGCAGTCTACTGGCAGCATTAAATTTGTATTAAGGACTTAAGATGAAGTATTGTGGGTTTTAGGGGGAGTTTTTTGTTTTTGTTTCTCAAGGAATTGTGCTTTTATTCTATGAAGTCTCTCCTGGCCATCTTATCTGCATTAGTTGCGTAAAAGGCAGGTGCTTGCTAACTGTCCTGGGTGTGTTTTTGCCCCAGTATGACAGCTGCTACTTTTTCATAATGAGGAAATTAGGAGCTTATTATTACTTTTCACATATATATTTTCCTATTTTTATTCCTTTGTGTTGAACTTTTGATGGTTCGTGTTACAGTGAAAATGAAAGAACTGAGAAGAACAAATCCTCCCTGGAGAGCAAAGGGTTTGAGCCACAAATTAGGCACTCTACCCTTGAGGTCCAGCACCAGGAAGATGAGCCTCCTTGGCTGGTTTGAAAACCAGTGGGGCTACCAGAGGGCTGATAAAGAATTGAGACTCTTCTCTTGAAGAACTGCACACAGACTGCAGCACCAAGGCAGCAGGCTGAAAACTGCCTTTCTCTGACCAGCCTGCACCGCCCCCAAGCCTCCACCAGGCTCCTGCTCCAGTACCTCCTGCTCCAGCACTGCTTTCTGCTAAGGTGGAGGCGGCCAATGTCAATGCATGTGCATGCACCCTGGGGAAGGAGCAGAGCCAGATCAGACCTGGGCCTGCCTCTAGCCAGAGTGAAGATCACCATTGCCAGCACTTGTGCACATCAAAGAAATAGCAGAGCCAGCTCAGTAGTGAGGCTCCCAACCCCTTGGATCCCAACCCTGCTTCTAATCAAGGCACTCACACTGGGGAAGAAGTAGACCCAACTCAGAAATGCAGCGCCAAGCCCTCTGGTCCTGGCCATGACCCCAACCAAGGCAGAGACTGGCATCACAATGGGGACAAGCCCAACTCCCTCAGGGCTCCTGCTCCAGTCTCTTGGGTCCTGGCCCTACCCCTGAAGGGGTGACAGCTGCCACTGAGCCTAGGAGAAACCCTAGCTCGCACCTGACCCTGACTGTAGCCCCTCCAACTCTAGCCCTACCTCCCACCAAGGCACTAGCTGGCAGCACACCCCAGGAGAAGATGAGGCCTATGCTTACTTCAGATGCAGCTCTCCAGCCAAAGCCCCTGGGCACATAGGACCCTCCACACAAAGATATGCCTTCAACACTAGGACAGGTAACTGTTTTAAATAATTTCATAGAGATAGACAGAGAAAGTTAAACAAAATATGAAGACAGAGAAATGTGTTTCAAATGAAAGAACAAGATAAAACCCCAGGAAAAAAAATCCCTAACAAAACAGAAATAATTAATTTACCTAATAAAGATGTCAATGCAAATTTTTTAAAAATGCTAACTGAACTCAGGAAAAGAATAGACAAATACAGTGAGCCCTTCAACAAAGTACTAGCAAATATTAAAAAAGAACCAGTCAGAGCTGAAGAATAAAATAAGTGAAATGAAAAATACACTAGAAGGAATTGACAGCAGATTAGGTGATACAGAACATGTAAGAAATCTGGAAGATAGAATAGTGGAAATCACTCAATCAGAACAGCAAAATGAAAATTTTTTAAATTGTGGATAGTTTAAAGGACCTCTGGGACAACATCAGTCATGCTAACATTTGCATTATAGGGTCTGAGAAGGAGACAGAGAAACGGGCAGAAATGAATATGATAAAATCATGACTAGAAATTTCCCTTACCTGAAGAAGGAAACAGATATACAGGTACAGAAAGCACTAAGAGTCCCAAAACAAGGTGAACTGAAAGAGATCCACACCAAAATGTACCATAATTGAAATAGCAAAAGTTAAAGATAAATAGAGATTTTTAAAGGCAGAAAAAGAAAAACAGAGTCACTTACAAGGGATCCCCCATAAGGCTCTCATCTGATTTTTCAGCAGAAATGTTGCAGGCCAGAAGAGGGTAGCATGATACATTTAAAGTGCAAAAAGGGAAAAACTACAGTCAAGGATATTCTACCCAGCAAGGTTATCATTCAAAATTGAATGAGAGAGAAAGAATTTCTCAGACAAGCAAACACTGAAAGTGTTTATGACCATTAAACCAACCTTACGTGAAATGTTAAGGATCTTCTTTAAGTGAAAAATAAAGGCTATAACAAGAAATAAACTATAGAAAGGGAAAAAATTCCACTGACAAAGGCAAATAAATAGTAAAGACAGTGGATCAGCCACTTAAATAAGCTAGTACAAAGGTTATAAGACAAAAGTTGTAAAATCAACTATTACTATAATAGACAATTAAAAGATAAGCATGAGGATGTAAAATATAACATCAAAAATCCAAAATGTGGTGGGGAGGGTGCAAAATCTTTTAGAACATGTTTGAATTTAAATGTCTATAAGTTTAAAACACATAGATATAGGTCAATATATATGAATCCCATGGTAACCACAAATGAAAAAACTATAATGAATAGACAAAAATTAAAAAGAAAGGAACCCAAGAATAACACTAAAGAAAATCATCATACCACAGGGGAAGAGACTAAAAGAAGAAAAGAACAGAGAAGAACTACAAAAACAACTAGAAAACAAGTAACAAAATGGCATTGAGTACAGACATATCAATAATCACTTTAAATGTCAATAGACTAAATGCTCCAATTAAGAGACTTATTAATAAGGTGGCTGATTAGATTAAAACACAAAACCCATCTATATTCTACCTACAAGAGACTCACTTCAGAGTTAAAAGACACACACAGACTGAAAGTTAGGGAAAGGGAAAAGATATTTCAGGTAAATGGAAATGAAAGCTGGGGTAGAAATTCTTGTATCAGACAAAGCAGAATTTAAAACAAACTCTACAAAGAAAGACAGAGAAGGGCACTGTATAATGATAATGAGAGGGTATAATGTTCATAAACATATGAACCTAATATAGGAGCAGTAAAATACATAAACTGCATATTAACTGGCATAAAGCAAGAAACTTACAATGATAGAATAATAGTAGGGGATTTTAACCAGCACTTATGTCAGTGTATAGATCATCCAGACAGAAAATAAGAAAACAATGGCTTAAATGACACATTATGTCATATGGACTTAATAGATATCTATAGGATATTCCATCTCCAAACAGCAGAACACACATTTTTTTCAAGTGCAAATGGAACATTGTCCAGTATAGACCACCTTCTAGGCCACAAAACAAGTATCAGTAAATTTTAAAAGATTGAATTGAAGTCAATTACAGGAAGAAAAATGGAAAAAACACAAAGCATGTGGAGACTAACTACTTTCTGTTTTTTAAAAAAGCCAATGAGTCAACAAAGAAATCAAAGAGGTACCCAGAAAATATCTTGAGACAAATGAAAATAAAAACACAGCTTTCCAAATTCTATGAGATGCAGCAAAAGCAATTCTAAGCGTGAAGTTTATAGCAATACAGACGTATCTCAGGAAACAAGAAAATATCAAGTATATAACCTAAAATACTATGTAAAAATATTAGAAAAAGAAGAACAAACAAACAAACAAAAACTGTAGAAAATATCAATGAAACCGAAGACTGGTTTTTTTAAAAGATAAAAAAATTGATAAACCTTTAGCCAGACTTATTAAGAAAAAAGAGAGAGTCCAAGTAAACAAAATTAGAAATGAAAGGGGACAAGTTACAACTGGTATCATAGAAATACAATCATAAGAGAATACTACAAAAAGTTATACACCAACAAATTGGACAACCTGGAAGAAATGGATAAATTCCTATGAACATACAATCATTAAAAATACTGAATCAGGAAGAAATAGATAGTTTGAACAGACTATACTAGTTTGAAATTGAATCAGTAAAACAAAAACAAAAACTCTCAACAAACAAAAGTTCAGGACTGAATGACTGCACAGGAGAATTCTACCAAATATTTAAAGAAGAATTAATACTTATCTTTCTCAAACTATTCCAGAAAATTGAAGAGGAAGGAACATCCCCAAACTAACTCATGAAGCCAGCATTACCCTGATACCAACATTAAAGACACTACAGGAAAAAAATTACAGGTCAATAGCTCTGATGAACATAGTACAAAAACTCTCAACTAAATATTAGCAAACCTAATTCAGCAATACATAAAAAGGATCATACACCATGATCAAGTAGGAATGCAAGGGATGGTTCAATATCCACAAATCAATCAATGTGATACACCACATTAACCAAACAAAGGATAAAAATCACATGATTATTATAATAGATGCACAAAAATATTTGACAAAATTCAGCATCCATTCATGAAAAAACTCTCAATGAAGCTGGTATAAAAGGAACACATTTCAAGATAATAAAGATCATTTATGACAGACCTGCAGCTAACATACTCAGTGTTGAAAAGCTAAATGTTTTTCCTCTAAAACAGAAGCAAAGATGCCCACTCTTTCCATCTCTATTTAACATAGTATTGGAAGTCTTAGCCACAGCAAGCAGACAAGAAAAATAAAAGGCATCCAAATAGGAAGGGAAGAAGTAAAACTCATTGTTTGCACATGACCAAATATTAAATATAGAAAACTCAAAAAACTATTAGAACTAATAAATGAATTCAGTAATATTATAAAATACAGGTTTAATATCAGAAATCTCTTTTTTTACACTAATAATGAATTATCAGAAAGATGATACAAATAAATGGTAAGTTATCACATATTTATAGATTGGAAGAATTATATTGTTAACATGTCCATAGTACCCAAAACAACCTACAGATTTAATGTAATTCCTATCAAAATATCCATGACATTTTTCACAGAATTAGAAAAATAATTCTAAAATTTGTATGGGATTACAGAAACCCCAAATAGCCAGTGCAATATTGAGTAAAAAACAATACTGGAGGTATCATTCCCTGACTTCAGAATATATTACAAAGGTAGAGTAATCAACAGTTTGGTGCTGGGACAAAAACAGACATAGATCAATAGAATAGAGTAGAGACCTCAGAAATAAACCCATGAACATATGGTCAATTAATCTATGACAAAGGAGGCAAGAATAGCCAATGGAGAAAGTCTCTTCAATAAGTGGTATTGGGAAAACTGAACATCTACATGTAAAAGTGTGAAATAAGGACATTTTCATATACTATATACAAAATTAAGCTCAAAAAGTATTAAATACCATAATGTAAGACCTAAAACCATAAAACTCCTAGGAAAAAGCATAGGCACTACACTCTTCGACATAAATCTTAGCAACTTTTTCTTTTTTTGTATCTCTTTCCTCTGGCAAGGTAAATGAAAACAAAAATAAACAAATGGGATCTAATCAAACGTAAAGGCTTTTGCACAATGAAGGAAAGCATTAAAATGAAAAGGCAGTCTACTGTATGGGAGAAGATACTTGCAAATGATATGTCTGGTAAGTGATAATATCTAAAATATATAAAATACTCATAAAACTCAGTATCGAAAATAACTTGATTTAAAAATGAGTAGAGAATCTGAATAGTCATTTTTCAAAGAAGATAGGCACATGAAAATATGCCCCACATCACTGATCATCAAGGAAATGCAAGTCAAAAACACAGTGAGGCATCACCTCTCACTTGTCTTATTGATGATAGCCATTCTGACAGTTGTGAAATGATAGTATGTGGAGAAAAGGGAATGCTTGTGCACTGTTGGTGGGAAGAAAATTAGTGCTGCCACTATGAAAATCAGTCTGGAGTTTCCTCAAAAAATTAAAAATATAACTACCACATGATCCAGCAATATCCGTCACTAGGTATATATCTGAGGAGAACAAAAAAAAATTTGCTAAGATACATGCACCACAGTGTTCATAGTAGCATCATTTACAATAGCCAAGGTATGGGAGCAACTTAAGTATTCATCAACAGGTGAATGGATAAAGAAGATATGACATCTTTATGTAGTAGAATATTACTCAGCCATAAAAAACAATAACATTTTGCCATTTGCAACAACATGGATGGACTTGGAAGGTATTATATTTAGCAAAATAAGTCAAAACAGAGAAGGACAAAACTGTATGTTTTCACTTATATATGGAATCTAAAAACTAAAGCAAGTGAATGAATATTTTAAAAAAATGAAATAGACTCACAGATACAGAAAACAAGCTAGTCATTACCAGTAGGGAGAGGGATGGGGTTGGGGCAAGATAGATAAAGGAGATTAAGAGGTAGAAACTACTAGGTATAAAATAAATAAGCTACCAAGATGTAATGTACAGTACAGGGAATGTAGCCAATACTTTATAATAACTTTATACGGTATATAACCTATAAAAATATTGACTCACTATGTTGTACACTTGAAACTAATAAAATAATGTAACTCAAATATATTTCAATAAAAAATTTAAAAATAAAGTTTATTAGAATGGGATGAATAGTAAAAAGAACTGGTTGGTCTAAACATTAGCTTAGGGGACTGGAAGCTTAACCTGAGGAATTTTTACATAACCCAGTGCAAAATCACAGAGATGAAAAAGTATAGGAGTTTGTTATATTTGGTGCCCTTTATTTCTCTTTTGGAGGTTTTCAGATTCCTCAGCTTAATGTGATTGTGTGTACATGTTTAGTTTTGGGGAGATAAGACATAAGAAATGTTTGAAGTCATAAAGGGAACTGTTGGAAAGCTTTTAGAATAACAGAAGGCACAGTGAGAAGGAATGGTTTTGTATTTAATTAGCTTATGCACTTTTCTTTATTCTTCATTCTTTTTTTATTGGGTTTAAGGAAAAGTGGGGGGGTCTATCTTTTCCTCCCATTACCCCTGCTCCTATAAATTTCTGTTCACAGATCTTTTGGAAAATGATATGACTTTATACAATACACTTTTATCTCTACTGATTTAGCATTTTCTAACATTCTCTGTTATCTCTTCACTATAAAGGGTGAATAATTAGCTAAATTTTATTTAATATTCACTATATGCCTGATACTGTATTAACTCATTTATCCTCACAGCAACCCTGTGAGTTAGGTACAATTATTCCCGTCTCACAGATGATGAAACTGGAGTGCTTAGAAGTTGTCTAGACCAAGTTTACAGAAGTAATTGGTGGGATACACAGAAGCAGCTGGGCTCTTATGCTTTTGCTTTTAGCTTCTGTTCTGCATGGCCTCTCCCTAGGTCAGGGATATGCCTTTAAGTCTGTTATTGAAGGATTATGTAAACATATAGGTACTTTTCTCAAGCTGCTTAGCTATAAAATTTTAAGTGAGAAATTTAAGTGTAGACATTTGTCATAGGTTAAGATAAATTACTTCCAATGGAATTCTAATAGCAATGGTTTCTCAGTGCTGAAGCAAAACAAATGTTTACTGGATGGATTCTGGTGCTGCATTTAGTTTTTAATAAGTGACTGTGAAAATAATTTCTCACTGTTGTTAAAGCAATTCAATAGTGGAATCATTTTACAACATTAATTCTTACTTATAAATAAATTCACCTTGGACAAACGATACATAAAAATGAAATGATACCACTTAAGGTGAACAATGGGCTTTTGTTAGTGTCGAAATGTAGCAATAACTAAAGAGGTGAGCTGGCAACTGCACTGTTTTGGAAAGCTACTGACTTTGGGAACAAAGTGATGCTGACAGAGTCACCTCTACTGTTTAGCTTTGGAAGTTTGATGGTAACTTATGTTCACTCTGTAAATAAAAATATCCCAAGAGAAAAAGAAAACAAAATGTTTTCCCCTCTTTCCCCAAATGACTCATTTTCTTGGTTTTTGTCCCACAAATATGTTCATTGAAACACAACCCAAAAGTGTTTCAATCCAGACGTAAAGCCAAAATTCTCTATGGGAAAGCTGTTTCAATGGCATTCATTGGAAAATGACATGTCTAAAGTATGTTACACCTTAATGTCATTCTTAAACAAAATGTTTTTTAAATGTCATGTTCAGAAATTGACCTTACTTTTTAAGTCCAACTTAATTACTTATGTCTGCACTATATAAGATTTGAGGAGGGAGAGTTTAAAATCTTCCTCAAACTCATCCATAAGCAGTGTCTTCATTATTTTTCCTTTATTCTTTAACTATGTTTAAATAACATAATATTTGAGTGAAAACTTTAAAAATTCAGTAAAAATTAAGATGTTTCCAAGATATTGATAAATTCATTCAAAAAATTATTCCTACAAGCAAGTATGTTTAGCCTGAGATTAACATGATGTTAAGAGGCATATAATATAGTTCTAAACACAAGAACAAGTTAATAATACCATGATTTCCTACCAGTCAAGAATATGTCCCAGAATATACGACAGAAGGTTTGGAAAATGGGGGAGAAAAATTGAGAGATATGGAAGAAAAATCTGGGAGGTCCCACTTGCAAATAAACAAAACAGAAATAGGTGGTATAGGAGAGATAATTTTTGAAAATAGAAGGAAATTGTCTTTAGTTAATAAAGACAAAATTATTCATATTGAAACTGCCCCCCCAAAAATGGCTCTTGGATGCTATCAGGGTTACATTCTGTCACTCTAAGGAAAAAGAGAAGTACAATAACACAGAAAGGGCAATGAAAGAAAATGCTAACTAATACAGGTATAATACAACCAAAACTTGTTAGAAGATGGTGGCAGTGCAAATTGAGAAGCAGGAAGAAATGTGACTGTTAAGAGTCACCTCAGGATGGATGAAATGATATTGAGAGGATCTCTATTAGGAAATCCATACGTCTGCTTTTTTTCTTACATTGAAGTATTAACACAAAAAAGTATTGTGTGTTTTGACGTATTATTGAAATATCAAGACACAAAAAGAGCACAGTTCAAATATATAGATTAATTTTCACAAAGTGATCACACCTTTGTAACTGCTGCCCAGGTCAAAAAATAAAACAGTATGAAGCCTGCAGGAGTCCTCCCCACAGCTTTGTGCCTTCTTAGGCACTGTTCCTTCTCCCTTTCTTGATGATAAACACCATTCTAACAATTAATACCACAGATAATTAGTTTTGCTTGTTTTTGAACTCTATATAAATTAAAATATTTAGTATTTATTCTTACATATTCTGTTGTGCCTGGCTTCTTCCACTTTATTTCAGTCAACAACATGACTATAAAATTCATCCATATTGTTGTATGAATGGTTAGGATTTTACTTTCCTTTTTACTTTTTTTCCTGAGAAGTATTCCATTGTGCAGATGTACTATAATTCACATATCCATCCTATGATGGACATTTGGATATTTTATGGGTTTACAAATAACAGTGCTATGAATATTCTTATACAGATCTTGTATGCATTTTTATTGAGTAGAATTGCTGGGTTTTCTAAAATGGTTAAAGCAATTTGCACTCCCACCAGCAGTGTATTAGAGTTCTATTTGCTCCGTAACCTCATCAACACTTTGTATTGTCAGTCTTTTTAATACTTGCCATCCCAATGAGTAGTTAGTGGTATCTCATTGTATTTCTAATCTGTAGTTTTCTGATTATGTTTTCTAGCCATTTGGATATCTTCTCTTGTAATACCTGTTTAAGTCTCTTGTACGTTCTCCTGCAGGATTATCTGACATAGTCTTAAATTAATTGGTAAGAATTCTTTTTCTATTTTAGATGTGAGTTCTTTGTCAGATATGTGTATTGCAATATCATCTTCTATACCGTGGCTTCCTGTTTTACTCTCTTAATGGTGTCTTTTGAACAACAGTTGATTCTTTTTCTTGTCTTTTAAAGTTAGTTCTTTCTGTGTCTCATTTAAGAAAATTCTTTCCCTATCTCAAGGTCATGAAGACCATGTTGTCTTCCAAAAGCTGTATTGTTTTAACTTTCACATTACAAATATGAACTATGAACATTTAGTTAAATTGCTATTCAAAAAGTTTGAATCCATTTAAATGTCTACTAAAATGTTCATGAGCATTCCAGCTTCTCACACACTTGCCAAAACTTCCCAAACTAGCTATTATTAATGACTTTTCTTTTTACCAATATGGCAAGTAAGGTGTAGCTTTTTATTAGTGAAATTTGTGAGATATTCAAGATATGCAAAAATGACCAGAAATATTATATTCAAAATACGCACTCAAGTATCCATAACCCAGATTTCTTTGTAATATTGGCTATTTGAAATAGGGTCTTCTAAACACAGAGACCAAGCACTTTGAGAGTCATGGTCAGTTATCTTGTTTATAACATTAGTATGATAATAGATTGTAACAAAGTTATTGGCAAGGTAAATTTCCACAAGTGCTGTCTCAGATCATTTTAAGAATGAGAGGTTTACATGTGCATGAATAAATGTTCTCTTACGAATTAATTTCTAGGACAAAAATTATGTGTCTATGTAGAAATCCCTCAGTTTAAAACTCTTGGCATTAAAAATGTCATGAACCTACATAGTCCAATAGAATAATGTGAAGGATAATCTCCAAAGGATTAAAAAGTGATAGAGTATCTTGATGGTCCCAAAGTAGCATTCCCTGACACACTCACCCAGTATAGATTTGTTCAGAAAAGGAAGAGATTGACCACAGTAACAGATGACCATCATCTTCTGGGAAGCTATGCATAATAGTGGACCTTTTGGACCATCTCTTATCTACTACTGTTTGGCAGTAGCTGCACGTAAGCAGGACACCTAGTTTTCCCAGCATGATAGTGCAAAGACATCTGTGTCTCCAAAAATCACAAGTGGAAGCAGTTCCATCCCAAGGGTTATTAGTAGTCAAGCAAACCAGCCAGTTGTTGCCTGCAAATGGAGTAGGAAAACATTATAACCTACACATCTTCCTCAAGGAATAGCTTTGGGTTGGGAGCCCTGAGTCCCATTCATTGACATATTTTATATACCTTGAGTTCCAATTCAGGGTCTCTCTTCAGCTATCAGACACTGTTTAAACCACAGATGTGAGTGAGGAAAGTTTCTAATTAAACTTACTTGATCTCAGAAAAATAGCAGTCTGTTTTTCTTTGAAATGTACAAAGAATGAAACTCAAAAGTCTTTCCAGTGTTTCATATAATTCTTGAAGCAAGAAGTTCCTTATAAATGGGATTTTCTTTTAGATTTTAATACTAAATTTTTAATATTTGCTTAGGGATTTTCCTTTACCTTTTTTATCTTATCACTTTTAAGTGTTAACTTGCATGTCGAACTATAACCCTTCAGCATAATTTAAATTCAGTTTTTTAGTACTTCAAGAAAGAACATAGCCAATGTTCTTGAATAAATTGAATAAGTGATTTTAGTGGCCCACAAAAAAAAATTGGCCATCTGCTGACACAAGAGGAAAATTGGTTATTGTATTTAAATTAATTTTTCAATGTATAAGAATGAAATAATTTTAAAAACAGCATAAGATCTTCAAATGGAACTCTTTGTAAGTTATTCTGTTTCCTATCATTTTCTTCTATTCAGAATATATAACATATATTAAATCCTACTTCTTTTATGTGCTTTATTGATGATTAGCTGCTCAAGTTTTAAGCATTCTTTGCCTGAAATTCTCAGTTCTAACTGGAGCACCCTTAAAGAGAGATGCTTTCCCTCAAGTTCCTTAATAATTAAGTCCCATAAAGTCAGTGATCATCCCAGGATTCAGTTCATCTCTAGAACTTCACTGCCCTTTTCTGTTTTATTAGTAACCTTCATTCTCATTAGATGTAATTCTGACTTCTTAACTTCTGTCAGGTTAAATCTTCTGTTTCTTGGGTCCAGTGAAGATTTTTCTCATTTCTAGAGCTTTGGAGAAAGTAAAGGATAACAGTATATAAAAACAATCAACAACCTGTAAGAAAATGGCATTAATTTCTTAGTATTTACAGTCTGTCATCTACAGTAGATCTAATTGGGAAGTGTCCAAATCTCAGACCTTGTGTAGATTATTTTACAAGCAATTTCAGAAGTCAGAAATTGGCTCACTTTGTTTTAATTGAAATTTGGGTAATAGTTTATTTCCTTACTCTGGCTGTTGTTTGCTAAGAAATATGATACTAAAATCATTGAGATTACTCATTGGAAGTATTCATTCTGAAATAAAAAAAAAAAACAATGGATTGTTTTCTGCCTAAGGTAACATTTTAAAGTGTATTCACTGATCTGATCTTATTAACATGCCGCTTATACAGAAAAAAAAACCTTGATGAGTTGCAGTTTCTTTATTTCATAAAAACTAAAGTCACATTTCACCTTTTATAAAATGTCAAATTATGAAAGCTTTAAAGCTCATTACTATAGAAGTCAATAAACTTAAGGCTCTCAGACCAAAGCCAGCTTCCTGCCATTTTGATACCACCTACAAGCGAAGAAGGATTTTTACAAATGAACATTTGCAACTATATTGATGCCAGGGAATAATACTAACTTCCAACCCTTAAGTGAAGTGTTATCCCAAAAGGAAAAAAAGAGAACCTCATTCTCCTCAGTAGTAGACATGTATTTTTCTAATGTTCTCAATTATTGTTGTATTTTGAATTTTGTTAATAAGCAATTTGTTTTCTACATTTTGTTAGGTTTTCTATAATTTGTTATGTTCCATATGATATCTTCAGTTTTCCCTCTTGGCCTGCAAAGCTTGAAATTCTTACTATCAGGTACTTTACAGAAAAAGTTTGCCAACCTCTGCATTATTCTATCACCAAATCATGCAATCACACTAATCCATTATCAAGAATATAAACATTATAAGTGGAATATATTTTGTATAACATCTACTCAAGATAGCACTAATTATTTTCTTAGCAGAATTATTATTTTCCTATCTGATGGATATATCTTTTCTAGCTCTATTAAATCTAAGAGATTGGAATTGAAAGATATTATTTTCGCCCATCTCTATCTGAAGAACATGAAAGATGTCTCAGCTATTAACTCAGCATATATGACCACATCCAAACTGCCTGCCTGCAAGGTATGTAACTGTTACTGTTCTATGAAGGGAAATTTGCCTGAATGCCTAATACCAGGCACTTCTCTGGTTATCTCCTTTATTTTTTTTAACATTTTTTATTGATTTATAATCATTTTACAGTGTTGTGTCAAATTCCAGTGTTCAGCACAATTTTTCAGTCATTCATGGACATATACACACTCATTGTCACATTTTTTTCTCTGTGATTTATCATAACATTTTGTGTATATTTCCCTGTGCTATACAGTGGTTATCTCCTTTAATCCTAATGCAGGGTTCATTCTCTGATATCCCTGGCTCTGAAACCTGTTCTTTATCATGCTCTCTCCCATTGGTATAGTGGTTGTGTATTTTTTCCAATTTATGTGGTTTTTGTGTTTTCTAGCATGGATTATTATAACAGGTGTCTTTTATTTCCCTCTCTTATTTATCTCCTCTTCCCATTTCTTAACAACAATTGTCAGTAATTCACAAATGGAGATACACGTTTATGGTAAGGCTTGAGAGATAAAGGGATTCTGGGATATATGGAGAGGACATATTAATATTGGAAAGTGGCATTGGCAGTAAAGAATGAATCTTCATGGAAGTAGTACTCGCTTCCTTTTAGTCCCTCAGCTCATCTCTATACCTCCAGTCTATGGTCATTTTCAAATGGTCTAATTTGGCCTTGTTTTCCTTATTCTTAAAATAGTCTCAGATATAATCTTAAGCAACTGAACACCAGATATTTTGTTGTTATTTTGCCTACATAGGACTAACCAAAAAAATTTACTAATATTTAATTATTTTTCCAATTGTTTTAAAATACATAATCTTGAAATTAAAAAGTGAATGAAGAAAATAAAAATAGTTTTGCTTGTACAAGAGAAAATGCTTAAAGAAAATTCCAGTAGTTTGACAGAAAAGTCAATTTTTATAGGAAGATTTCTGAAGTAGATTTTCATTTAATTTTCATGCAGACCACCATATTAGAGACATATATTTCAAAAAGAAAGAAAGTAAAAAGGCTTTTTCCATGACAAACTTAAAGGGAAAAATGATTTTTCTATAAAACAATCTAAGTCTCATCATAAGTAAATAAGCAGAAAACAATTTACTGTTGAGAGAATGCTTTAATACCTAGTAAACATGGCATAAAGGAATAGAGTATTGTGGCATTAACCAGGGAAATTGGTACTTCCAGGGTCTCTGCCTTGCTCTAGGCCCATTTCAGGTAGCCACAGTGAGCAGCATCCAGCCATGAGCAGGCTACCCTATCTGCCCCCAGAACCAGTGGAGGACAGTGGCCCAAGATATGAGAAGCTCATTCCCCATTAGGTAGATGGGATTAGAAATGCTATTCTGATGCTCTACATTAAAGGGCTCCAGCGCCTGACATCTGCCAGCCATTCCACTACGTAGGCAACACTAAAAGTACAACTTCCCATACAGATCTCATGGACTCTGAAACCAAGTGCTATTTCTGCTTTGTTTCCCAACTAACTGTTTAAATCCAGCTTTCAACTTGTATTGCTTTCAACCCTGTTTCCCATCTATTCCCTCAAAGTTTTGATAAATTTTAAGGAATTAAAAAAAAATTAAACAATCCTACAGATTACACTCCATACTGTAGAAACCTCCTCCACTATATGACACCCTTCAGACTCAGAAGGAATTATCCAAAAGGTAGGAATAAGACTGAGTTCAAGTAGGGCCATGGAATCCTAGGGAAGAAACTTAAGAGAGAGTCAGGGTTCAGTGGTATTCATTACTACAGACGAAGACCAAGAAAATAACATAGGTTTAATTTGTGAAGGCCTCCGCATTGTTTTTCATCCTTTTCAAATAGGATAAGACTGGTGGCATATCCCAACAAAGGGGAACCTGCAACTCTAAAGAGATGAAAAATATCCCCCAAAACAAAAGGAACCTGTAAATAAGCCCAAGATTAAAGGCTGCAGGGAACTTAGAAGAATAGATTATGTCTGTTTGGCCAGTTAATTATAGAATGGTAGAACAATTGCCCTAGTATCCTTCCTTCAGTGCAGCTGATTCTACTGTGTACAGGATAAAGCCACAAATCTAGAAATCCAAATATGATGTGGGAATGTCCCAAAAGAGCTTTTGATGAGATAGGGTCTCCTCTGATTAATGGGCCCCAAAAGACAAGGAAGAGCCCCCACCCAAAAGATACACGGTATATACAAGCCAGCCTGACAGTGTGGCTGGCACCATGTAATTATCATCACTCTCATCAGAGCCAGGTGAGCATTGTCACTTGAAATTCATCCAGGTAACAGTGCTCAGTAATCAAGATTCTTGCTTATAAATATAAATAGATAACCAAGAACAAAACATTCAAGAATAAACAACCCAAGCACAAAGAGACATCAAACTCAACAATAAAACCATGTAACCTTTGTGGAAACAAAATTAATTTGGGAAATAAAGAAAACTTCAAAATTATTTTTGTTTAGCATCTTTAGTGACATGCCAGTGGCTAAGAGCTGTTTTTAAAAAAGCTGCTATGAAATGATTAGAGATTTTTTTAAAAAATCACTCAGGCTAAATAGTAGACATAACAGCCAAAGATCAGTTTAGTGAACTGGAAAGTTGAATAGATTGATTAATTTTCATAGAACCCCATGTAAAATGGTAAAGAGGTGAAAAGTATGAGAATTTATTGCACATAATGTCCTTTCTGTTCCCTTTTTGGATTTGCAAATTCTCAACTTTCTTGCACTTCTTTCTTAATCTTTCTTTCCCAATTTTGTTTTATACCTTCTAGAAATTCCTTCCTGTACTTGTATGCTAGCAACATCTCTCTAACTTTGCAGCATTGCTACAGATATAATTTTAGATTTATATTTCTATTGTTACTTCAGTAGAATTTGGAAAGGGACAAGAAATAAAGGTTTGGGTTCCATCAGTTACCTTGAACTACAAGAGAAGACCATTTTGACATTGATTATTTTGCTTTTGGTTTTGTTTTTGTTTGTTTGTTTTACCTTGTTGCTTTAAATTTGATTTATCTTTCAGACTGTGTGTAGGAACTATGTTGCCAGAAGAAGCGCTTTTCTTAGTAGATTGCCTTGTCCATCAGAGTAACATAAAGATTGGTGGTGGTCTCTCTCATGCCAAAGAGATTCTGCATGTTCAGAGTATTTCTCATTGGGTACCTGCTAGCATTGGACTGTACACTCAGTCTATCAAAGTTAGTAGACATGCTTAAGGCTTTCTTGTTTTTGTAGCAATCAATGAAATATGTGAAATAAATTGACAAGTCAGCTTTTTTAATAACAAAATTTTCAATTCAGTTATCATCTTTATCACATTAGTGATCCCAGGCATGATAGTGACATCTTTAAAAGGGGAAATTTGATTTATAGGCAAAAATAATTAAGAAAAACTATTCTATATATTATTTTATTTATGAAAATTTAAAACACTATTTAGAATTGTTGGTAATTAACTGAGAATAAATATAAATTTATTCTTATTTGTTATAGTGTTAGTTTAGAATATGAAACAAAGATATCTGTTAATTTTGGGTTATTGATTTCTAGCTTAATTAAATGGTGGTCAAAGAATGTACTCTACATAAGTTTAGTCTCCTCCAATTTGTCGAGGCTTGCTTTATGGCCCAGCACATGATCAGTGTTGGTAAATGACTCATATACATATGTGTTATTTTATTGTTTGGTGCAGGGTTGTATATATGCCAATTAAGGAAGTTTATTAAACAATAAGTTTATTTACAATAGCCAAGACATGGAAACAACACAAGTGCCCGTGAACAGATGATTGACGTAAGATGTTATACATCTATATATAAGTATATAGATATAGTGAAACATTACTTGGTCATAAAAAAGGAATAAAATACCACCAGTTGCAGCAATGTGGATGGATCTAGAGAACGTTATGCTTAGTGGAATAAGTCAGAGAAAGACAAACACTATATGATACCACTTATATGTGGAATCTAAAAAATAATACAAAGGAATCCATATACAAAACAGAAACAGACTCAGAGACATAGAAAACAAACTTATGGTTACCAAAAGGAAGAGGGAGGGACAAATGAAGAATATGGGATAAACAGATATAAACTAATAATAGATAAGCAACAAGGATTTACTGTATAACCCAGGGAATTATAGCCAATATCTTGTAATAACCTATAATGAAATACAACCTGCAAGAAAACTAAATCACCATGCTGTATACCTGAAACTAACACAGTATTGTAAATCAACTATACTTCAATTATTTTTAAGTATTCTTTAGGTATTCTGTAGCTTTGCTGATTTTTTTTTCTTTCCTTTCTTTACCAATAATTGAGAGAGGTGATTGTGTGGATTTGTCTTTTCCTTTAAGTTTTGTCAATTTTCTCTGTAGACAGTTGCAGGTATGTGAAAGCAATTTTAGAACTATTTTATCTTTCTGATGGATACTCTTTTTGTCATACATACACTTTCAAAGTAGAAAAACTTCACTGCACCAGCTTCTTTGGTTAGTGTTTCCATAGGATATTTTTTGCATCCTTTTATATACAAGTTTTCTCTATACTTATACTTAAAGAATATTCATTATGAGGAACATATAGCTGTATTTTTAATCCAGTTTGAAGCTATTTGCCATTTAATTACTTTTAATGTAATTATTCACGCATTTTTGTTTATACTTATCCTCTATTTTCTCCTTTTCTCATTGGTTTTGTGTTTCTTTTTTTCCTTCTTTACATTATTTCAGGTTAATTAGACTTTCTTAATGTTAGTTATACATTCTTTTATATGTTTTAGTAATACCCCAAAGAATACATCATACAGCTTGTACTTATTACAACCTTTTATAACATCATACATTTAAAACTTCTTGGACAATGCTAGAACCTTAGAATACTTCAAGTCCATATATCACCATTCTTTATGATATTGTTATCAATCATTTTAGTCCTATATATGGTTTATTCCTGAGAACACATCATAATTACTATTTTGTACAATCAGTATTCA